TTATTAGATTAAAACTACTTCGACTGCCTCGTTGGCCAAGTAGTCACAAATGCGACTGCTGGACAAGAGGTCTCGGGTTCGATTCTCGGACAAAGTATTACTAGATTTATTGGGATATTTATATTATTAGGTTTTTAAAAATAAAATTTGCAAAGGGCTCACCCCCTATTACATGGAAATCATAACATAAATAGTGAAAAATGGGTATTACATTTTACAGTGGCATACAGTGCTGTAATGTGCAACTTTTCTGACTACCCTAATAGAGGATAATGATGTTTTAATACATACATAACAATGTATGTATTAAAACATTTTATAAGAGGTAGAATGACTGTAAACTCATAATGACGCATGACTCATATTGTCATGACATTCATAACTATATACTATCACTAAAAGTTTCGAAACTAGGACCTCGTACTTGGCAGTGCACTTGTAATCACTCGACCTACAAGCCAGTTACTGTTATTATTTTCTTCTTATATTTTTTTTTATGACATAAGCCGGTGAACGAGCAGGCGGATCACCTGATGGTAAGCGATCGGCGTCGCCCATGGACACCTAGAACACCAGAGGCGTTACAAGTGCGTTACCGGCTTTTTGGGGATTAGGAGTTTGAGGATTAGGGATTCAGGGATTGGGGAGATTGAGGAAGGGGAGGGTAAATGGGCCTCCGGTAACCTTACTCACACGACGTGAAACAACGCAAGCGTTGTTTCACGTCGTTTTTCTGTGAAGCCGTGGTATCACTCCGGTCGAGCCGACCCATTCGTGCCGAAGCATGGCTCTCCCACACTTAAAAACATGAACTTTTTAAACCTGATGTTATTGAGGCTAATTATTATCCTTATTAATTTCAAAATGCAAAACTACTTTCACAAAGATAATACAAACCGGTCCTCCTCAACTTACTCCAAAATTTTGCAAAATTGGAGTAGAATAATGACCTGTTTGACAACTAGTCCATTATAAAATGTAAAAATTTTATATAATATCTCGATGTTTTATATAACAATACGCCTTTTATCACCGAAGGGGTAGGCAGAGGTGCACAATACGGCACTTATTGGCACTATAAAATGCAACACCTGCTTTTCACTATTTATGTTATGAGTCCCATGTAATAGGGGGTGAGCGTATTGCCATATACCGGGCATAACTCTGGACTCCGACCTATTACTGAGAATAAAAAAAAAAACACAGTATTACTTTGCCCGACCCGGGAATCCAACCAGAGATCCCTCGCCGCCGGGCAAGACGCGACTGCCGAGTCGAGCTTGCGACCACTCGGCCAACGAGTCATTTGTATTTTATTCTCCTTAAAAAGTATGTAGAAGTGAGCTATAAAGACAACTACAACTATTTATTTACTTATTTAACATTTTTGGAAGACTAACAAAACAATAAGTAATAAGTTGTGTGGGAGTCTGACAGCCAATGACTATACGAAGTCTTCACTTAGAAACATTTAGCCCAGTTATGTATTGTAGTTACATCGATACTGTTGCTCAATGCACATCATCTAGGGCATGCGCGGTGATTTAAAGGTCGATAAATGAATAAATATTTCAATATGAAACCCCTTATTGGATTGTTACTTACACAAATCAAATTATTTAACCAGCATTATAAAAACAAACTCCGAGTAATCGCTCAAAAACCTCAAGTCATTTACCAAAATAAAATTGCACATCACATAACACTTCAGAACAGGTACATTCGAGTACAATAAAACAGACAATCCGACCGCGTTCCGAATATTGTTATTACTGGAAAATGTACCAAAAAACACGCAAACTTCGCTACTGACATTTAGCACTTGAGGTAATGGTAGCGACTGTACATTTGTACGACCATTACTGAAAAATATGAGGTGCTTCCAAAGTTCTTGGTGCTTGAAGAATTTAATAACATTTATGCTTGTTTGTTATTGTATGAAGATGTGATAAGATTGAAGATGTAATTTGATTTTTTTTGCAGATGATATATTATGAAATGCCGTGGTGGCCCGCAGGTTAAAACGTCGTGGTAAGCTGGAGGTTTAAGAGGCCTGCTTTTCATACAAGGGAGCATATTCAAAACCTACCAACAGCAAGGGCCAATGTGACATTTTCTGAGTTATTTATTTATTTATTTATGAATTGGAAACCAACAGCTACACATAGCAAACAAATATACATAGTACTTTCTAAGATTATAGACACCACTGACAAATGGTGAAGGAAAACATCGTGAGGAAACCTGGACTACTAATTTCTAATTATAAGTATGATATCGCCAACCTGCATTGAGCAAGTATGATAATTTAAGCTCAAACCTATTTCGTGTAAAAAGTGGCCTTTGGTTAGCAGTGGCCATTAATACAGGCTGCAAGCGTGGTGATTTAAGCTCAAACCGTCTTGGTGTGAAAAGTGACATTTGGTCAGTAGTGGCCACTATAGGCTGTTCATATTGATGTTGGTACAATAAAATTGTACTACTACCCAATGATAATACCTCTAGTAAATTCAGATAACAATGCGCATATTAATTTTAGTTAATACCTTTACCTACAGAGAGTTTAATGATTCTGAGAACTGACACTCGCTTTGTGTCAATACCAGCTAAATGAAATACCATTATTATTGAATTTTCTAGAATTAATAATACGTTTGTATTTAGCACCATGTTAATTTTGAATACGTAATTACTTCTACTGACTACCTCGTTGGCCGAGTGGTCGTAAGTGCGACTGCCGGGCAAGGGGTCTCGGGTTCGATTCCCGGGTCGGGCAAAGTATTACTGGGTTTTTATATATATTCTCAGTAGTAACAGCTCTGGAATTGTGCCCGGTATATGGCAATGGGGTCACCCCCTATTACATGGGACTCATAACATAAATAGTGAAAAGTGGGTGTTATATTGTACAGTGGTATAATGTGCACCTCTGCCTACCCCTTCGGGGATAAAAAGCGTGATTTTATGTATGTAATTACTTCTATGACTAGGATTTAGGATTTATGGGAATTTGCATCAAAGTTTAGTTTTCTTGGACGTGCTTGCATTCACCTTCTCGCAATACACTGAAAGGATAAGCGCTTTGGTTTTGACTACAGCTCTCCTACTTTAATCTGCTTCCTTACCTTGAGTAGTAGCTTATACTGTTCAATCTCAAAAATAGATTTGTGTCTTATTGCTCTGTATTAAAGTCCTAAATTAATTAATCTAAATTAAGATAATGTTCACATTTGTACCTGGACGAATGCACAAGTAACCTTGTGTACCTTAATATTAATTATCGAACCATTATTTAACATGAGTCATTATCACTAGCTAGTAGACGCTCACAGCTAAACAAAAGCTTCTCTTTTTCTAAGGGGGAAATATCATCAAATATCATCCAATACCATGAACGTGCTGCAACATAATACACATTATTACATATTGTACATGTACAACTTGTTCCTAGTATATCTACACTTTACAACTACCTATTAATGCACACATTTATTTATTTATTTACTTAATATCTTACTTATTCATTATTACTCGTTTGTTTGTTTAGATTGTTCATACTATAATTATACACACTCACTATATTATCAGCATGTTCTCCAATAGCGCCGCGCGGTGTGGTGGTTGATCAGCGGCGTCTCTGCTTTGATTGCACTTTCTTTCAAAACACTGGCCATTAGAACGTTCTTTTACTGTAATACACATTCAGATGCCGGTTTTGTATAAACGGGGACGCCATTACCGCTTACCGGTACCTACCGCGTCGTCGCGTGCGCTTGAGGTTATTTTATTAGGCGAATGTGACATCTGTTATGTAAATGTCAGTGTCAAGCTGACAAATATAATGAATCTCCTGAACTAAACGCATGTTTAGTTCGGGAGATTTATTTATTTATTTATTTTATTTATTTTATTTATTTTATTTATTTTATTTATTTTATTTATTTTATTTATTTTATTTATTTTATTTATTTTATTTATTTTATTTATTTTATTTATTTTATTTATTGTAAAATAATTTTTGTTATTTTAATTTTGAATTGTATATATATATTTTTTTTACTGTTTTCTATTATTATTATTAAATGTAATATTTTATTAGTAACGGGCAAGTGCTGAAAATCAGCGCCGTGACTCGAGCACACTCGTGTCACGGCATTTAAGCTGAGCTCTTGCCTTTTTGCGCCGTCTTTTTTCTTTGTATTGTTTCTTATTTTATTTCCTTGTATCAGTGTGCAAATAAAAAAATTTTCTTTCTTTCTTCTTCTTTCTTTTCCCGCCCTGGGTGAGGCGAGAGAGCGTCAGACTCTTACTTACTAAAAACCAACCCGTTCCTACACCTGCTCTTTGAGCTGGAGCCCCGGCAACCCGTTAAGTCTTCCGCAGCTAAGTTAAAACTAAATTAAGTTTATCAGTTACCCATCACTTGAATTTAAAAACTTGTAATATTAACGTGGCAATAGTATGAAAACAAACCACGAACTCCGAACAAAGTGTTACCGAGCGTGAAAATATCAAAAAATGTTGGCAACACAACAAAATATTCATTCATGTCTGAGAACAATGTGCATTTCGCAAGCGTTGACATGTAATTTTAGTTACTCGTATGAAACTGGAAATATAGTATGAATGCATTGGATGACCGAAGAAAAATTGGATAGAATGTGTAAAGAATGGCGTAAGAAAATACAGTAAAGTCTGGTATGTAATGACATGTGATAGAAGAAAACAAAAAGCAATCGTTGACGCAGCATACGTAAATGGGACTTGCCGTATTTTTGCTACAGCAATTATTTGTTGCATAATCGAATACATCTTTTATAAAAGTGTTAGTCTGAAATCTAATTAAAAGTTTTCTAAATAAATGATTAGAGTTCAATATGGCTGGGAAACTGGCTGCCGATCCACGTGTCGCCGGTTCGATTCTCAATAGTGTAGTGTTTGTCGTGTCGGTCGTATTTGTCGTATCTGTCGTGTCGGTCGTATCTGTCGTATTTGTTGTGTCAGTCGTTTCGGTCGTATCTGTCGTGTCGGTCGTATCTGTCGTATTTGTCGTATCGGTCGTATTTTTCGTATTTGTCGTGTCGGTCGTGTTTGTCATACTGGTCGTATCTGTCGTATTTGTTGTATCTGTCGTGTCGGTCGTGTTTGTCGTATTGGTCGTATCTGTCGTATTTGTCGTTTCGTCGGTATCGGTCGTATCGGTCGTATTTGTCGTGTCGGTCGCATTGGTCGTATTTTTCGTATTTGTCGTGTCGGTCGTGTTTGTCGTATTGGTCGTATCTGTCGCATTTGTCGTTTCGGTCGGATTTGTCGTATCTGTCGTGTCGGTCGTATCTGTCGTGTTTGTCGTGTCGGTCGTTTCGGTCGTATCGGTCGTATTTGTCGTGTCGGTCGCATTGGTCGTATTTTTCGTATTTGTCGTGTCGGTCGTGTTTGTCGTATCTGTCGTGTCGGTCGTACCTGTCGTATTTGTCGTACCTGTCGTATTTGTCGTATCGGTCGCATGTGTCGTGATTCGTACACGATCTGTCGATGATTCGTATACTGGTTAGATTACGCTAACTATGAAAATTTCTTATGTTTCACGAAGTCTGATAAAAATTGATCTTGAGAATACATATTGAGTCCTAAGGTTATGATTAATGCACATAATATTTTACGACTGCAACGAAATTTAATGAACACCGTTTCAGCGCTCCTTTACGTAATACTGTTTAGATATTAGTAGTTAGACGTCTAATGTTAGCGTAGTGTAGTACGTAAAGGTCAACTAGCCAAAAACATTATGTAAAAAACAACTTCATAAACTAAAGACAAACGAAAAGTAAAAACTAAAAAGGAAAAATAACTATTATTGGTCATACGTACTTATAGCTTACAGACCCACTGTTAGGTTAGAAGTCGGTGCCACAAGTTTTAAACAAAATTATTCATTAAAACCTTAATAGATATCTAACATTAGATATAATCCATAATAAAATTGTAAACAGCTTAATAATGTTAGGTATCTATTAAGGGTTTAACGAATAATTTGGTTTTAAAATAAAATTAAAAATTAGGCATCTACCCTATTGTATGAAATGAGGAAAAATATCACCATTTAGAGTCAACACCTTTCACTTCTCTGCTGTAAAATATTAAACAAAGTCTACATTATAAACGATCTGTAACTCAAATCTAAAACCCATAATTCTTATTCATACATTTCCTACACAGATTAGAGTAAAAAGAAGGAAAGAAATGGGATACATAATGGTAGAAATGCATCGGATGACGTTAACGACTAAACTAATGCATGCAAGTCGTAAGGGAAATAAAATTTTAAAATATATTATAAAATTCAGCGCGAAATGCATAGTTCATTTTGTATACGTATGACTTTGTGGAAGTAGTCTTTAGGACTGTTTCGTTGACCGAGTGGTCGTAAGTGCGACTGCCGTGTAAAGGGGTCGGGTTCGATTCAAGGCAATTTATTATTGGGTTCTTAAAAAAATCAATAATAGCACGGAATCTGTAATTGTGGCAATAGGCTCACTCCCTATTACATAAATAGTGAAAAGTGGGTGTTACATTGTACAGTGGCATTATGTGCTGTAATGTGCACCTCTACCTACCTCTTCAATGCGTTATAAAATAAGGCGTTATGTTATGTTATGTATATTTTTCTGGTTTGTACAAAACTGGTATTGATTTCCAAAGGGTCGCTGCCCTAGAGGACAAAATGTCGTGCGACATGCCTGGCAACATTAATGTCGCAGTGGACATAAGACGCGCATTGTCGCCATACATGTCAGCTGGCATCGTTTACAATGTGGCCGATACATGTCGTGCACCATTTTTGTACCCAAGTGTATCATTGGCTTAAAGTGGTTCCCATTTTCAAATTAACGAATATGCTAGTTTACTTGAACCGTATTCCTTTACAAAAGAAGTTAAATTTGCACAAGCCTAAATATATTGTCTACAAAGGACTTCGTAGTTCGCAAAACAAAACAAATTCAGCTTTAACGCCTACAAGAGTATCAACAACTACTTACTGCGACAACACTGCAAGACGATGTAAGCCGAGAAATAACATTTGGTTAAGCAAACAATTAAATACACTGTTTGTACTGAACCCGATTGTTTGTGCATATATTACGCAATCACTGGAGAAGCAAGTGAGAACGAAGTAAATATTAATACAGCTTTTATGGTAATCCACGTGTGAATGGCTTTTCTAAGGCCATTAGGTATAATCTGTTTGGTTCCGTTTTCGTTTGAGGTTGTTATGTTTATGTTTTTCTTTTAATATACCTCTAATATGTTTGTATTGCAATCTATCATATAGATATTCAGCAATATTTTTGTTAATGCCTCGTTGGCTGACTGGTCGCCAGTGCGATTCGGACCAAGCAAAGTATTACTGGGTTTTAAAAAAAAATCTCAGTAGTAGCACGGAGTCTGGAAATGTGCCCGGTATATGGCAATAGGCTCACCCCCTATTACTTGGGACTCATAACATAAATAGTGGAAAGTGTGTGTTACTTCTGTTACAGTACTGATGCAGAGGTCGTGATGGTGACTATTACTAAAGACATAACATAGTGCGTTGTAATGACATGTGTTTGTAAGTGAATTTTAGTGAATAAAAATGAACTTTATGGTGTTCTTTTTAATATTATTTCATGGTTCTACTATAGGCTGTCAATTTTAGGGCTCAAAATTGATTGTTGCATAACTGAATACTGTTATAAAAGTCTTAGGCAGTCTCCATAAACATCTACTGAATAAATGATTGGAGTTACAATACAAAGTTAGAATTAAACAAGTAATAAAGGCACCAGGAGCTTCTATGGTTTCACAAATACGTACAATTTTGCTATCTCACAAAACAATATCATGCTTTCGTCAAAATCCACAAATTATACATAAAGGTGCCAATTCAACAAAACAACAGTTCATAATTTCAATTTATACAAAACTACACAAAGATTTAGAACCAGTACATAAGTATCTCCAAAAGCACCATTTGTTCTCCAAGCGACACTCTAAACCGCTTTTCCAACTTATATCGTAAAAGAAAAGTACCAGAGCCCCAGAAGACGGTGGAGTTCCATATTCCCACGTCCACATTTGGACATAACCGCTGCAGTTATTGAAACAAGGTTTCTGAAGAGCATTTTACAAACAGAGACAATATAAAGTGGTTGGAGACATCTACCTCTGAGCTAGTACTACTGGTTCTCAGAAAAAGATTCACTGTTTCTCGATATGTAGATATTTATATCTTTTTGACTCGGTAATACAACATTTGGAGATCTATAAATGTAACTTGCGTAATCATCTAAAACAATTATCTTTATTAGTCATCTGTCTTGGAGCCGCGGAGGACTTAGCGAGTTACTGGGGTTCCGGCTCGAAATGCAGGAGTAGCAACGGGGTGGTTTTTAGTTAGTAAGAGTCTGACACTCCCTCTCACCTCACCGGGGCGAGAGAAGTCAATGGATGATTTAGCCCCTCGAAAAAAAACATCTATCTGTCATCATAAATAACCCATCACTGCTGGATTATAGACCTCCTCTCTTCTATTAGTTAATAGCTAAAAATTGAAATGCTTCAAGTACTTCTTCAAATATTTCCTTCTTTCTTACAAAAAATAAGTAACAAAAGAACGAATTGCTAAATCGAAAATTAAGTTCAACGTCAATGTAAATTAATTCGTTTTCAATACTCGACATATAAGCCTATTGAGTCAGCAAACATTTTTCTCAGACAAACTCAAAAGCAACAAAAAATACTCACACAAATCTCACATCAAAAATCGTTCAGTCCTTAGTAAGAGCAAACTGTCCCTGGTGGATCTAACACAGTTTTCGGGGAAATGACTAGTCGCCAGCCAGTTTAGCATGATATTGTCCAGAGGAACTGGTGATACAGTGAACAGGGACTATAAAGACTGAACACATTGAATGGAGTAAAGTATATTGTCAAGAGTTGCTTCAAAAGGAGTTTGTAAATGTTTTAGTGGTTTTTAGTCTAGACGGCATCTAATTGTTTACTACAGATCTAATGGCTAGCTCAGTTAGGTGGTTTGTTAATTCTATGCAATACCTATTTATTATGGAATAGTATGCAAACGAGCCAGCGGATCACCTGATGGTAAGCAATCAGCGCCGCCCATGGCTCGTTTTACTGTAAAACTGTGTTTTTTACAACATTGAAACTTTTCATGCCATAATAAAGTAGACTTTAGTGATGTATAAAGTCGATTTACTTTCAACAGTTCTCATTAGGGTTACATATACACAGAAGATGAGCCTATTTATATACAATATGGCCAATGAAAGATTGTTTTTTATTGGATAACCTGATAAACGAGCAGACGAATCATCTAATGGTAAGCATTCGGCGGCACCCGTGGACACCTTGAATACTAGAGGCGTTACAACTACGTTACCGACCTTTTGGGGATTAGGAGTTTGCGGATTGTTAGGCATTCAGGGATTGGGGAGATTGGGGATGGGGCAAGGGGTAATTGGGCCTCCGGTAACCTCACTCATACGATGAAACACAACGCAAGCGTTACTTCACGTCAGTTTACTGTGAGGCCGTGGTATCACTCCGGTCGAGCCGGCCCGTTCGTGCCAGTGCCGAAGTATGGCTCTCCCACACTTTAAATTTGTATATATAATCCCATAGTAAAATGCAAACATCAATTTAATTACTTCTATAGCGAGCGATTGGCATCTTTTAATCCACTGATCGCCCTTCTTCTATCTACTTATATTTACTTACAATGCATATTGAATGAGAAACCTATACGTACTGGTGTGAAACCTATATAAATGTGTATGAGTACGTGTATATAGGACAGAAAACAGAACTGGCAGGCTACCCCTACAGCACATGTTCTATTGTCCCGACACTCATTACACTATCCCGGACAGCCATTGTATCACGTATCTCAGGATTTATATTTTAAATGCTACACTTTTTTTATTTTAACAGCGCAGATTGTGTGAAATGAGATTTTTTGATTAAAAATAATCGAGTTTTTTGCGTTTGTTTTAGGCACTGTTTTTTAGCAGTTATTGTGGTTATTTGGCACGATTGTCATTTGAAATTGGGGTTTTGAATACATTCTAGATACTTTCTAGAAATGATAGACTTTAGGATTTATGCCTTAAAATTTTAGTATAATTTATATAAAACTTTAGTATAATTCAAGCCTAGAATGTTTGTGGGCAGATGTGCACCATCGTAGGCCGCATAATCGCTTACCATCAGGCGAGATAGTGTACCGCATATAAAGAAAAGAGTTTCCTTGTCTCAAGCAAGAAGAAGATAATGAATTGTTAATACATTTTTTTGCCTCAAAAACCGAACTAAACCTTCATGTTTAGCAATGAAGCTAACTTAAACCTAGCCTGGCAAATGGTATTGGATTATAAATTCTGACTTTGAAGACTTTGTTCCCGACTTCGGTCCTTACATACGAAGTCTTAAAAATGCCAACAAAATACTAAGATCATACAAACTTCTGAAACCTCGTAAAATACAAAGTCATATAGAAAGTTGCCGTGCATAAATCGAGAACATCTGATATTGAATATATTGGTGAACGTATCATAAACTCGGCTCAGTCGAGTCAAGATAAACTTGTAAAAATTGTATACTTTCGTAAACAAGGACATTCGCGGTAATGTACTTGGATTAGAACTTATTATATAAAAATACTGTCTTCGGGTCTTTATAGGTCGTGGTGGCCCGAATATAACAAACGCCCTTGTTACGTCATAGCGTGCTACAAAATGTGGCACACTGTGACGTCACACGATATTTTAAATTAATATATCGTCGAAAGTATTTAATTTTGTGAGAAAAGAAAAAATACGTCTCTTAAAATTGTAAATTAATGTATCAGACGGACATTAACAAAAATTTAGGAAACTACCCTATTATACTTCCTGTAACTTATACGTATCTTTATAATTTCATTCGAGAAATGACAAGATGTTATATTAAGTATTGTTTTTTATACTTATAGATAGTTTTATTTCCTTAAACGTATCTGATTGTTTTGATATGAATATCGGAGCCTACTACCTACTTCAAGCGTGCTTATAACATTATCAAACGGGTTACCGGGGCTCCGGCTTGAAGGGCAGTACTAGGAACAGGGTGGTTTTTAGTAAGTAAGAGTCTGACACTCCCTCTCGCCTCACCCAGGCGGGAGAAGCCATTTGATGATTTTCCCCCCTTAAAAAAAAAGTAAAGCTGTAAGTCCGAATCTGTCTATCACTAAATTGCTTTGAACATTTTTTCTTTAATTTAAGCATGGAATAATAAATTTCAGCTTTTGCAAGTAAAACAATGCATAACGTCACAATTACAATTCTCTGTGTCGTCTGATTTCCATTTAAATGAGATATAATTAATTAAGCCACGTATCGGATTACGACGAAATGTTGATACAGAAATTGAAATAAAAAAATATATTTATCGAAAGAACCTTAATTACAATGCTTCGTCGACTTATTTTTAAAATGAATATTTCGACTCGACCCCCAATTACTGAATTTCACGAAAATAATTATTGTATGTGCATTTATTATTCGTATTATTGTACTCTCTTCTTATTACATTATTTTAATAGGTGTGCACGGATGATATATCTCCCGCCTTATGTTTGGGTTTGGGAAACTGCAAATTGATTGATTGAAGAAAGGGGATGAGCCTATTGCCATATACCGGGCACAATTCCAGACTCCATGCTACTACTGAGATTTTTTTAAAAACCCGATAATACTTTGCCCGACCTGGGAATCAAATCCGAGACCCCTTGCCTGGCAGTCGCACTTACGACCACTTGGCCAACGAGGCAGTCAAATTTTTTACTCATTGTTCATCATACTTTCACTGCCACATTATATTTTATAGTCAACTTTAATATTTTATTTATACCGTACCGTGCATGTCTGGTACTGAATAAATGTTTTTTCCTTCTTTTATTGTTTGACATCGACGAAATACTACCAAATTGCTCACAATGTGAACAAACAAGACGGCACGTGTGTGGCGCCGGCATTAAAGTAT